AAAATAGCTGAGGAGTAGCCGTTGGCACTAGATCGGCAATGTTCTTTGTATCTTACTTTAAGCGGTCGACTTGTCTCTCCTATGTAGGTGTTGTTGCAATTGGGCTCCTCACATTTGAGTCTGTAGATAACATTCGCCTTGGTACCTTTTTGAGGTCGGTCCTTAGGGTGTACCAGTCTTTGTCTGAGGGTTGAGTGAGGTTTGAAGTTAGTGGCTATGTTGCAACAACACCTACATCGGAGAGACAAGTCGACCGCTCAAAGTAAGATACAAAGAACATTGCCGATCTAGTGCCAACGGCTACTCCTCAGCTATTTTCCACCACCTACAACACAACCAGGGTCACTCTTTCAAACTCGAGTCCACGGATATCTTAGACCGTGAAACACGCTGGTGGGAACGGGGTGTTAAAGAGGCAATATATGAAAGAATGTACAACCCCACCCTCAACAGGGAAGGGGGGCTACAGGTCGATCTTTCCGGCACTTGGGATTTGGCACTCCCAGCCCCGAGGACAGACAACACTTAAGCTCCTGTTCTGTATAACAGGAGCTTTCAGACTAATTTGCATCATCTTGTCTTGACTTGTCTGACTTTTGTTCTTTTTCGACTTCCAAAAACTTGTCTTCACTTTATTTGCATATCAATCAATAGGTTGTGTTTATAAACCTGCTTTCCCCTGTGGTCTCTCAGTCACTGACGAAAGCTAGTGGATACTAGCTGAAACGTCTGACGTTTTCAAATTCATATCCAGTTGCTTGAGTAACTGTTTTTTGGCGTAAAACATGATTGTGTTTCTTGAATTTTCTTGCTACGGGGATTCTTCAATTTCTTGTTCAAAGAATAATTTTCTTACTACAAGATACATTTTCTTTGTACAAGGAAAAACAAGAAAAAGCATTTTTGGTAGTGTGTAGCCAGCCAGCCCTGGGGGCAACACAACTTTCAACAAAACTCTTCCACCCCTGGCAGTCTTCCACCAGTCTGGCCAGCTGGTTTGTATGACAAATTAAATGTAAAATAATCACTTCAAAACTCACGTTTGGCAGCATGTCGTAGGATAGTAGGTACTTGCAGTAGGCATCCTGTAGTTTGGCCATCCGGTCCTGAGCCTGCATTAAACATGTAAAATGATATTTTAAAAGTTTTCTATGAGCATGTACAGTGGTTGGGGAGGGGGGGGGCCTACATCAATTTCACATCCACATAGCCTAGCGGCGACCAATGGGTGACCAGCATTCCGCGCCACGCCCACTTTGCGGTCGATTCCATTCGACAATGGGGTTGAACAGCATCCTTCCGTACGGCGCGGCAGGTAATCTGAGTTGGAAATGACAGATAAACAATGTAAGAATTGGTGTATTTGGGGTGAAACTAATGCAAGTACCGAAGTTACGGGTTCCTTTCTCAGCACTCGGTATGAGGCGGCTTCCGTCCTACATCTCCAGTGCCGAAGGTACGTCAACACTTGGTGTGTCGGCGGCTTCAGCACTGGAAACTCCGAATCGGCAAATCAAACCTTGTCTTTAAAAAGGGTATCGAGATGCTGCCACTCATATTTCGAGATCATACCGCCTGGGTAACAAAGTTTAATCGGGACAACAAGGTTATCGGCAGGACAGGACTGCAAGGCCTCTTTTCTTACATTTTCACAGACAAAGACTTGGCCTAAGATACTGTTTTGTACGCCGCGCGGCCGACGTAAGCACCAGAAGCCCAGTGCCGAAATGGTTTAACTCGGCTCGGTAGTTATTTTGCTCCAACTATTCAAAGACACAGAATTTCAGAAAACAATTTACAAATGTATCTTTTGAACAAGTTTGAGAAACATCTTTTTCAACCATATCTTGCTAAAGCGTGGGTTGTGGGTGTGGCCGAAATGCTGCCCGCCTATTGGTCCCCGCTAGGCTGGCTTGGATGGGAAATTGAGGTTCCGGGGGGGGGGGTAGGAGGAAATGTCACAGGTCCTTCTATAGGGCTTATTCACCACAGATTGTCACGTGACTCTCCCCCTGGCGTCCGCCATTTTGGGGCTATCGCTATGCAATGCTATGCAAACTCTTGGCGATAGTTGTGTATTTTGGGCCACAATCTACGTTTTGGACACTCTTCTTGTTAGTAACATTGTCCTTGGGGTTGTTCTGGCTCCGTGTCCACTTTTCATGTTGTCAAGATTGGCTTTTCAGTCTTTCTTTGCTGATCAGAAATCGGTGTGTTTAATCCTGGCGCGGCGTACGGGGCTGTACATGTACATGTAGATTGAAACGTGGGTAGCCATGAACACGGTAAAATGTTGGACTCGGAGCTACTTGTCTCTTTACTCTGTGGTAAATCTCCATGTAGAACAGGGCGCTGGCAACGTGTAACACTCACCTTGTCCAGCCACAGTCGCGGCAGTGCGGACTGAGGATGGCGGCCGATGGCCTCGCCTTTGCTTGTTGTTTATCCAGACACACTCCGGGGCTGTTCCAAAATAGCCGCGACTTTTTGCGTTTCCCGACTACAACGTACTTAATTGTCACCACGCAACTGTCCCACAACACTTTCTACACATCCTGATACAACGCTTCCAGACTCTTGAACCGATCCTGTGTGTAAAAACTTCTGCCCAGTACCAAATACGAAGCTAAGTTACGTCAATGGACTCCGCTGGCGGTAGACGCCGTTTCTATCAGACTGATCAAAACTCAACAGAAACGGGTCAATCCCAACAGATTTTATTTTGTTCCAGTAACGAGAGGTATGAGTGGTGGTAAACTCTTCGTGTAATAGGACAAAGGACAGTTTACCTAACGTTTGTCGGCCATTTCAATGCTTGGAAACTCGCTGTAGGCGCTGTAGCCCCAAAATGGCGTCGCACGGGACATGAGGGGTCGTGACGTCATGATGACGTGTGGTGAATAAGCTCTATACAATCAGTATCACTATTAGAGGGATAAAACTCTTTATTATATATTATATTAATAAGTACTCTAGCGGACTTACAGGTCCTTCTAAACAATCACTAGTAGAGGGATAAAACTCTCCATTATATGTTATATTAATATTAAGTACTCTACCCGCAGAGAGCAACTGATGCTGTAGATCGTCTGTCAAGACGACAAGGGCCCAAGTAAAGTCTAGTGGACAATTGAGAAAAGCAGTTCTTTTTGGACTAGGCATTGTTCTCCCAAATTCTATAATCTCATATCTCTTGCAGTGACTCTTACAAGTTAGTTTTTTGAAACTGTTGTCTTACATAATTTTCCATTGTTTGAAAAGTCTCTCAAAATCACCTGTGATAACATGGCTGCCATGTTGTTGTTTTTATGTCATTGTTAGGGTTAGACGCTAATCCCCATTTGATTATCTATTGTTCAAAACAATTGATGGTATCTGAGGGGGTCCAACCTTAGGTGTCAAGAAGGAGTCTACAGCAGTTCTCTTTGGAGTAGATGTAAAATGTAAAAGTATGTAAGAAAACAGTTTTAAAAAACTGACTTGCAAGAGACTGCAAGAGATCTGAGATAGAATTTGGGAGAACAATGCCTAATCCAAAGAGATCTGCTGTTTTCTCCGCTAGAGAACTCAGAGAGTCATCCCATATATTCGTCCTGTATTGTGTACATGAATCTGTGGTTTTAGTTTTCACAAAGAAGGCAAACCTACAGCTTTTGGGATCCTGAGAGTGTCAGCAACTTTGTTCCACTTGTTCTTGTCAATGACCTGTTGTAGTCCACCAAACTGAGCCATGACTGTAGAAAACTGGGCCAGGTCCAGCTCACACCCTCCCACCTGAACAGGGAGGAAAACTCATGTTCACGTTCATCATGGACAGAACTACAAGTGTGGGAAGAATATAAATATGCAAATATAATTTGATTAGTTAAGATGTTGACCTTAATATGGGGACACGACACAGATGGTCCACCAGAATCTACCGATAACATTACCTTTCTGACGAAAGCAAAAATAGGGTTCCTATTATGTACATTTGTACATAGCTACTAGTACAGAGGTAGTGCTTGTATAAGTTTATCAAGTTGCTAGTTTATATTATAGTACACCAACATGTTACATATACTATTATAATTATTAGATTCATACTTGAGGGTTACACTATGAACATATTGTTCGTCAGGTCCATACTGTACACCTTAGGCCACACCGATTTAATTTTATGGATGACATCCTCTGAAGACCCTTAAAGTAGTGCACGCGGGCGAATAAAAAAAAAGTCCGGCCCAAAATAAAAATGCTACAAAACCAGGAATACAAAGCTGGTGTTGTGAATTTCCAGCAGTACATAGCAACGTACACGACAAGCCGGCACATGCTGACTTTTTGCGGAATTTATGAGTCAGCACTGTACGTATGAACTGAGTTCATAGCTTTGGTGCCATCAGTGCCATCCTCCAGGGTTACCATTGGCTCTGTATTGTCGCTAACTACAACGAACTACCCAGGCCAGAGCCTCAGAGGAAGTGATCTTTTTTTTTTGTTTGAGAACAGGTGAAAATCAATGGGCAAGTGGACGTCATCCATAAAATTACAGTAAGTCCGTATAGCTATAGCCTAACACATGAACATGACCTACCAGTGGTGCTGACTCCAGGAAAATGTCTTGGGTCTGTAGGTGTTTCCTGATGCACGCCAGCTTCGCCACATTAGGTCCCCATCTGGATGTACAAATAAATATTACTCATCTGTTCACAAACAGTACGTAGTCCAGCCTACATCAATGACTACTGCACCCGAGTCCTCTGTGGGTCGTTTGGCGCAACAGCGTGCGCAATTCCGAATAAGAGGGTTCGAGTCCTGACATGCCACCGACCTTGTGCCCTTGGGAAAGGAACTTTGCCCCACTAGACTCAAGTGAAAATGAGTATTGTTTGTCCAGTATTCATTTCTATGTGCGGGACACAACAGCTGCCTCAGTCTGTTCTGCGCGTATTGCACTGTTGCAATTTCAATATTCAAGAAATCAAATCAAATCAAAGATACATGTAAGACCGACCTGGTCCATACATGTTCTGGTTGTTCTTTGGCAACTAACTCAAAACAAAACAAATGTGTGCTAATTATCTCACTCTCTTGTCAGTCAGTCTCAGAAAACCATTGCAACAACAGACTTATGATGTTATCACTTTTATAAACAAGACTTTCTAAAAACAGATTATTTTGTTATCTCATTTTAAGTGAGATGTGACTTGCGTTCAGAGCAGTCTCAGGTCCTGAAGATGTGGTGTATTTATTAAAAGAGAAGTTTTCTAATGACACAGCCCTAGACATGCCTAATGAAATTGAACGAGAGGCACAGAACATGAAAAAAAATAAACACAACAACAAGTTTCATTTACCACATGAAATATCTCACCTGTTGAAAAATCTGTGTACATACTGGATATCAGTAGTGAACCTCATGTCATCATTCAACTTGCATTCAGGCTGAAATGAAGAATACACAGCACTGTGAGAAAATTCAAAATTAAAAGTCAAGAGGAACACAAATATGTAGTGTGTACATACCATAAGTACACGCACATGGGAATATTATTTTTAATTGAATTAAATAACATTTCATTAAATGGATTAAAGTTTTGGAACCAAATGACCTGACAAGTTGCAGGAACACACACACACAGACAGACAGACACACACACAGGCAGACAGACACACACACAGGCAGACAGACACACACACACAGACAGACAGACACACACAAACACAGACAGACACACACACACAGACACACACTCACAGGACTTAATTGAGGACCATTTTTTAAATTCAAATTCCAAGTAGTGAATCAGGCATTGCAAAATTCCAGTTCAGCCATTCTCCCACATAAGAGCTCTTCTCGCATTGTAATAGCCTTACAGGAGCACCTCTGCCATTCTGGCATTCTGGTAGTTAGGCATCTGACGACCTGTCACCCAATCAGAGACATTGCTTACAGTTGTGGTAAGCTAAGGCTGCAAAGGCAAGCAAAGGCAGCTGGGAAGCTGACAAGAGAAAGAGTTCAGCACACTGGTGCCCTTGTGCATGTATTTTAATGTTATCAAACTAGACTGTTTCTCTCGGGAACCTACATGTACATGGCAGATGGTCTCAGGCACGTTATTTCTCAGGGCTCGAAGTCCTGAGTGCATGTATGCACCTTAGTGCACCCAAATTTGGAGCTGTGCACCTGATTTTTTTCTGCGGGTGCACTGGTACACCCAAATATTTTTGTAGGAATTTTTAACAAATCATTAGAAAATTATGTATAATAGTATACCGGATATTTTTGGTCGCTTAAGTATCAGAATAAAAATATACTTAAATCTCTGTTGTAGTACTTGTTTAAGATTTTAAAGTTAGCTCTCATTTCAGATTCAAGCTCAGAAGAGGAGCAGTAAGACCTGCAATTAGGTTTTGTTTCATAATATGGTGCACCCCAAAAAATTTATGTGCACCTAATTTTTTAGGTTGCGTGCACCAGTACACCTATTCCCAAAAATGAATTTCGTTTCTGGTCACAACATTGTAGCAGTAAGTAATGTCATGATACACATCAAAACATGCACATTCCATTCTCTGTGCTCTCAATATTAATATGTATTTTAAATAGTGAGGACACTGTCTACTTTTTACTCACATACATGTAGACAGCGCAACACTTACCCGCCATGTCTTTGGAGGTACCACTTTGCAGATTCCGTAAGGCTGGGCTTGTTCTCTAATGGATTCAATGTATGATATGGGATCTTGGAATTCCTGAGTTGTAGGGTAAAAAACTGGGGCATCAATAATCTTTGGAGCCATGGTAGAGGTGGAGCTGACGACATCCTCTCTCTTTGCTGCCCCTTGTGTGGCAGAACTTCTGGAAGTATCAGAGATAGAACATCTTCTCAGTTTTCTTGCCCTTCTGTCATTGGATGTGTTCAAACCTGAGGAAGCACTACTGTGTTCTTGCTCCTCAGATTGCCTTCCTTCTGGGCAACTGGCATTCTTGTCCCAGCTAGAAGCATGAGATGGAGGTGTAACTGTTTCACAGACTGGACTGCTACCAGAGTCATCATGACTAGAATGTTTTGCTTTACAGTGCCACTGCGATGTTGAAGCAGTCTTTAATTTACAAGCTTTTGAGTCACTCATTTTTGTGGCCTCTCCATTTTTTGCATTCGGTTTGGCACCAGCATTGTACACTTGGTTGACACATTTTCTTGCCTGCACACTATTCCTTAAGGTACTGTTCCTGACAACTGGGACTTCGTGAATTTCCTTTTGGAGTCTGGAAGGTCGAACAGCTTTCTCAACCACCTGACTGTTGTGGACGCGAGTGTCCCTTTGTTGCCTAGTTACTCTCTTGACTACAGACACTAATTCATTTTCATGCTGAAGTGATGCCGACACCTTCTTTGGATTTCTTTTACCTTTTGCATCATCTGATGTCTTGTCATTCGACACACTGTCACTGTTCTTGAGAACTTTTGCGGTGTTGTTGACTTTGTCCTTGGAACACGTGACCTTGAGCTGTGACGTGTACCTCCCATCTGGACCTCTTTTTTTCCCCGGGGACGGAGTTTTTTTGGTGGATATTGTTGAATTGAGGAGAGTTGGAGCTGTGGAAGACTTGATAAGATCGAGGGGAAGTGAACTTGTTTGTGTGGACTGTGTGAGAGAGAGAGAGTGGTTTATTTGCACTACCGGTATACAAGTACACACAAAAGCCTGTAAACAGCCATACTTGGCTGAATTGGGAAGGCTTTAAACACAAAATGTGCTAAGGCCCGATTTACACGTGCGTTGTTTATATGTGTTGGGCGTAAAACGACGTGAGCGTTGCGCGGCAGTTTTCTTGTGGCACCTCCTAACACATATACATTTTGTAAACGACGCACGTGTAAATTGGGCCTAAGCCTTATAGTACGGCTATTTGATAAAAGTTTGTTACATTTGATAAAAACCTATTTGTTGCATATCAATTTTACATTAAAAATTACCACACATTAAAAGTACAATAATGCAATATAAAAACAGTTGATTCAATGCTTACTTTAAGTTAAAATTACAGATTCTGAAACTAGAAAGGCCAATATTTGCTTTGGAGCAAATACAGCGATGGGTTCACCACATTTTACGACATGGCAGGGAAAGAATGAGAAACACAAGGGAAAACAATGATTTACATTGATATAACTATAATATGAAGTAAAATACAACTAAAACAACAGTTGGATAGCTATTCCCTACTTTATTGGTTAGGATTTTTAATTACCTTCGCCAAGAAGGTTATGTTTTCAGAGGCGTTCGTGTATGTGTGTGTGTGTCTGTCTGTCTGTCAACACGATAACTTGAGAAGGCCTTGATGGATTGTCTTGATACTTGGTAGATGGGTAGGTCTTGATGAGACCTCAAAATGATTAGATTTTGGACCCCCTAGCGGCTTGTTATGGTACTGCAGCTGAACTTCCGGTTTTGTTATCTAAAGATCCAGACATGCTATGGTAATGAAATTTGGATGGTAGGTAGCTCTTGTACTGGGGAAGAAGTGACGTGAGTTTAGGCCCCCTAGCGGCTTGCTCTAGAACTGCAGGGGGGGTTTAAAGGACAAATGTTTAAAAGAGGATAACTCAAGAACCGGTTGATGGATCATCGTGATTTTTGGTATGTAGGTAGCTTAAGTGATGCTTGACATAATGATATTACAATTATGCGAATATTGATGTAATTTGCATAATTAATGAGGAAATTCTATAAATCAGCTGCATTCCATGATAGGAAGTTCAAGCTTGTAGCATATGTTATTAGGAACGAGAGAAACACAGGCAAATATTGATTATGCAAATGAAGACTTAATTTGCATAATTAATGAGAAAATGTTATAATTGCGTAGTGGTAACTGCCTGGAATTTCATACTTGGGGTGTTTGAAAGTTAAGTTAAGGTGAACATGATTAAACATAACTTATTCAAATAAGGACCACATTTGCATAATTTATGAGAAAATGGCATTCTTTGTTAAGATAAGACTGTCTTTTGGTGGAGAATATGATCAACAGACTGATATAATTCATGCAATTGAGGATCCTATTTGCATAATCAGGGTGATTAGTATATTTCTTATTCATAAAGGCTAACATCATTTGGCGAAGGTATGAGATCGTGGAACTCTAGTTCACCATACCTTCCAAAACACAACTTACACCATTGTCTGCTTGTTGTTAGAATACCACACGATGATCTGTTTGTGTCGACCTTACGATTACAAGAACGGAAACATTTGCCGCTCATTTGTCACCCTGGGTGCCAAAGTAGTATCGGGCCGTTAGCCGTTTTCCTCCGGCAGCCAAGAGCCCTTCGCCCGCCTATCTAAATTACCGCCACGGAAGAGTCGAACCCATGAGTAGGGCCGGACAAATTCTCCTGGGCTCAACTCCTCCGTGGCGGTAATTTAGATAGGCGGGCGAAGGGCTCTTGGCTGCCGCAGGAAAACGGCTAACGGCCCGATACTAGTTCGGCACCCAGGG